TCTGTGGATGACGGCTAAACAAAACTAATGTTTTACCTGGTGGGGTTGAAACCGTTTTGCTTTTAGGTTGTCATTAATGTGAACACAATATTTTAGAAATGCTTTGAGCAAATTCCTTCAACCTGGACACAAACATTCACCTGAATCCAAAGAGGAACAGATTAAAGATCAGTGGTCAACGTCACTGTGGCCTCGTAAACATCGACATATTTGACCAAAACTCAACATCATATGATTCGTGGATGTAAATTACAACTTGACTGGCTGGTGGAGGCGCAGAACAACAACACAGTGATTCTAGTTTAGGGTTTGTTTTTTTTTGTATATGTCTTATGAACACTGTTTTATTACACAGCACATATAGTTGCAATGATTTGGAAGGATGCAGCCTGTTTCTAATATTTGTTGGGTATGTTTTTGTTTCCTCCAGTTCCGTAGATACGCCGTGCCCTTCCTGCTCTGTGGGAAACAGCCGTGGGTGGAGGACGAGGCCTCGGAGGCAGTGACCACCATCGAGACGACCAAAGTGGCTCCTGCTTGAAACGCCGACGACTTCCCACTAACTTCATCATAATAATGCATTTTACAAATGCGTTTTATCACCTGCAGCTTGAACATTTGGTGAAACTGTGTGTGTGAATGTTTGTTTGGACGGGAGGAGCTCAGTAATGATGGTCAATGTGAGACTTGAAGTGAAAGAAACAGATGAGAAGAGTAATTCAGCATAAGTTTATTCAATGATGATCAATAGAAAATAAAATATCAGTGTTGATTTAAATAAAGTCAAGGCCAAAATAAAATGAAAAATACAAAAAATGTATTGATACAAAACCTAGAGGGTTATAGTAAAGCATTTGCTACTAAGAGAAATGATGTTTACTGAATAAAAACATTAAGGAGCAAATATCAAGACTTTCAAGTAGAGAACATTACCATGGGTCTTTCCATACGTTTGTACATATTTTACATTATCTTCTATTTTAATACAGCTTTCTGAACATTAATAGTTGTAATAGTAATTATAATTATAACAAGATGAAGAAAACTAATAAAAACGTTCAAATCAATATGTGTTTCTCTGTAAACTGGTACTTTACCGTTTTATTTTTTTTTCCCTACCTGCGAAACAGAGGAACAGTGCACCTTGAAAATATTTTTTTTAATACTCTTTCATTCCCAGCATTGTAAGGTGAGGTGTAAATGACAAATATAGATTCCACTAAACCATACACACAGTCACAAAAAGTACAAAATTGTCTCACCTTAATACACAAATCTGTTTAGAAAAAGGAGAAACAAAAAGCACTATACAGTTACTTGTGCAAAGACAAACAGCTATGTGCTAATATTTAAATACCATTGGTATAGACTGAACCAAATCATTATTTTTCTTTTTTTTTTTTCTTCTCAGGAATCCCTGACATGAGGTAAAAGTAAGTTCTTTTCATCTTTAGTTTAACACAACTTTTAAAAGTGTTTACAAAATAATGCATATCTTCAGTTCATCAGTACTGTAATTGCTACGAATAGTACAATGTGCCTTTTATGTGCATTGGTCCTTTTATATGACAGTCATCAACAAAAGGACTAGAACACATTATTATTAGTATTATTTTTTTAAAACTCACAAACAATTCAAAGAGCCCTTTCAATGTGCACACAAAATGGAAAACCTACATTTTTCATGACAGTATTCGGTTGAATTAGAGTACAGTACGCACTCGCCTACAAATCAAACACTCATGAACGACGGATCACATTAACCTCAGAGTCATTTCAACTCGCCTGAAAAAAGCCCACTTTGCTTTCTTTTGTCCAGTTTCCTTACGTGACTGATCGATGAATGATGAAAACCGAAAAAGAAAAACTATTTTGTGTTTCAACTTGTGGGCTTCTGTTGCTCCGTTTTTATGCATCCGGGGGTTTTACTCCCTCCAGGCTTCGTTAATTGTTTTTTAACTTCGATCCTACTTAATCTCATTCAAACACTCCACTGAGGGACACGGTGACAAACAGATAAGTTCAGACAATGATATGTTGTCACTGTTGCCTTACGAGGTATACTGTATGCAGGAACCAGGCAGGCTGAGAGAGAAGGGGGTGGGGGGTTAGTATTGCTTTGCCTCTCTCCAGCATCCTGACACCAGGACACCATCTGTCCTTCCACCTTGAACACGACGTTGGGCTGTTTCTGACCTTTGGATGTGTGCATGTGTCTCCTGCCAACCACAGGCTCCGAGCCCTCACACACTACATGAAGGCTGAGATGTGATCGCGAAGATTCAGTACAAAGGTTTAATGGAATCACGCCATGAGCAACAAAGAGTATGTCATGGAAAAAATCCCAGCACGAGCTTTGAGAAATATTAATTTATCCCTGTTATTACCATCTATCAGTTTTTCCTTCTGTCAGCAGCAAAAAGGCATTTCAGTAGGGGCTGATGAAACCTAGGTTGGAATCAACTAAAAAAGCAGCACTGTTAATGCACTATGCATTTTAAATTTTTCGTGCACACCCTGCACAACATATGCAAACGAATCCGAGTAAAATGGATCCGTTAAACCCGAATGTGTCGGTTGGATGAAGCAACACCTCTGCTAAGGAATCGTTTGCATATCTTGTGCGGCGGTGTTGTCACATAAGCTCTAAAAAAAAATGTTGTCATCGTAGGCAAACCAAAGGGTGCATATTAGCAAAAAATAAAAGGCAAATAATTATCAGAATAGAGTACCTAATAAAATAATGCAAGTCTGCTTTTATAGCATAACAGGAGTCACAAGGGTCCATATTGCTGATCTTTTAAATGAGACATAATTACAAAATATAGAATATCTCTTTACAAAGTTTCTTTTGTAATATAATACAATTTACAGCAGATCAACTATGAAATATTAACCAGGCTATTCTAACGTTTTAAAATAACCTGCCTGCTAGTGCATTTATCACAAATGCTTGTGTTGCTTCAAAAGTACATATCTCAAGTTGAGTGATGCTATAAGTAGGACGGTTAATTCCTGCATAATCTGGTACGACTCTACTGATGCTCTTCACTTTTTGACTCAGCTCTAGCGATCTTTAAAACGACCTGTTCTAACAACAAGGGGATCGAGTTATTCTAACAACTACACGACGAGATATGCCTTTCTATGCTTGCATTGAAAACTTGCATGATATGCCAAACCTTAATAAAGTGACTGAGGTAATGACATCGTACATCTGATTGTCATCACCCTTTAAGACCCGCCCTACAGAGTACCTCACACCTTTGCCAATTGGTCCATCTCTTTCACTGGCATCAATGTCCTCGTCTCTGATTGGCTGCAGGCTGAACCTGTGTGTTGCCTCCAGGTCGAGACCGTTGGAAGGAGGCTCCAGTCAGTCCCTCTGTGCTCAGCAGGGATGGTCGCTGGCTCTCTGCTGTGGCCTCCTTCGCTGGCAGGTGGAGAACACTTAAACGAACGGGGCTAGTGTGTCTCTCTTCTATATGCCTTTTCTCTTCAATGTAAAAGGCACTTCTTTTGGTCGGAGCCAACAGATGCATTTCTTTTTTAAAATTTTTCACAAATGTAGTCTATCAAGGTTCAAATTTGCAGATTTCTCCAGCCGCTGCTATAAAGTCGTGATGCAGATCATCTCGTCTGCCAGGTCCTCCTCGTAAAGCGCTCTGGGTTCTGTCTCGGGCTCCTCGTCGCTGTAGCTGGCTCCGGTGTCCTGCATTTCGTAGTCCCTTGGAGTCAGAAGGGGAAACACGTTGACCCCGTTGATGCCCGGGGCCATCCCTCCGTTCAGCAGGTGGCTGGCTGCGCTCTCCATCTCATCTATCGTCATCTCACACGCATCTGCTATCTCGTGCTTCGTGGCAGCGACAAACTTGGGATCCTTGGCGTATCTCCCAAGGCCTTCTGATATCAAAACCTGCATGGCAGCACATGAGGGGAGATATATTACTGTGGATTTTCATCTTTGCTTATCTCGCTTGCATCATTTCGCTCTGACAACAGCATTAATCTAAAAATGCGCCCCTGAGATCAAACGATCTGTTCAGGGGCACCTCTCCAGTAACCGAATCAAACTCACCGCTTCCACGAGGCTGGTCGCGCTGCCTCTCTTCTGGTGGTACTGGTTGTGGTACTCAGGTGGTACCTGCAGGTGGACAGGTGAGTACGTCCGCTGCGAGAACTCGGGGTCGTCCGTGTACCAGGAGCTCTTCCGCACAGACACTTGGCTGCTGACGACGCTCTCCCTGTGCGGGTGGTCCACACGGATGAGAGGGGTGTAATAGGGTGACTGGTCTTTACTGGCCGGGGTGGCAGGGGGGGTGGCCCAGGAGCGGGTGGAGCGGGTCGGGGAGAGGCGGTGGGCTCTGCTGGAGTCCAGGCCTGCTACAGCCATAACCTGACGGGTCAGGAGAGAGCCAGAGTACAAACGTTACACTGTGCAGCTGGACGAGTACGTTCAAATAGTGCTCCCATGTTAGTAGTCCACTCCAGGATCATGCAGAGAAGTTCAGCTTTAACTTAACACATTTCTGTCATATTCAGCAATGAGAACTTTAGTCATGTACTAAGATAAGTCCATGAATGAAAGTCTGTGTGTCTGTGAGTAAATAATGCCGGTGCCTGTGTTACCTGGTGCTGCATAAGGTGCAGTGGTAGAGCAGTACGCTGATGTGGAAGCTCATCCTGGCTACTTTGCCTGCGCAGACACTCAAAGTTGAAGGACGGCCTTCTGTGACCTGAATAAGCCAGGAGTGGACCAAGTGAGTGAGGCCATGCAGGAATCTTTAGCAGCAAGCTGCAAACACTCAAAGCAATACAGTGGTGAACATGTGGCTAAACCACACAGTGTACGTGTGTGTGCATTTAGGAACTGTTATAAGAATGTGGTGTTATGTGTGATGATTCAGTGCTCTTTGTATGAACCTATGTGCTGAGTGAACTCTGTGTAACCTGATGAACTTTTAAACTTTCCACTGAGAAAGTGCAGAGGCAGGCGTGAAAGACGCTGCACAGAAATAGCAGAACAGAAACCAAGCCCCGACCGCAGCGCTCACTGTAGGACTAAGATAGCACATGTAGGTTGTGTAGCTCATGTCGAGGAAAGCTTTTTCTGTATACGTGTATAAAAGCTTCAACACTTCCTGTCTGTGTCAGTCACTTGTTCAGACTGTCTGCTGTGCATGTGAGTAGAACGTTGCTTTGTGTGCTGATTTGGAGCAGTCAGGACTCCACTGAAGAATTTTTCTAACAGCTATCTTTAATGAAACTGTTTTGACATTAAGAGAATGTTCGTTAATTTGTGGTGGCCTAAATGTTTGCACGGTGCAGGTGTGTATACAGGTGAGGAGATACCTTGAGGTGTGGCAGGAAGCAGCCGTCTCTTTGGTGACCTCCGTGAGTCGCGGTAGAGAGGCTGCTCGTCGTCGTCATAGTAACTGTCAGGGTGATGGTAGCCTTTGGGAGTCTCATACTCTGTATCGCTGTTCTGATACCTGTGGAGCGTATGGAATGACGGGCTTGTTGGAAGGTTTATCCCAGAAA